ACTGACTGGCCGTACTGACATCGAAAGAAATATCTGGCCTAGTCACAGTAAGATAATTGAGCTTCCCAATTAGCCTCCGATAACGTCCAGGATCAGATAACGGCTCCCCCTGTCCGGGTAATAACTTGACATTAGAATCCATAGGTGTATCAACTGGTTTACTCCCCAACATACCAGTTTCTTCTAGGATATCCAAGGCATATTTCCTTTGACAGATAGAAATGCCCTGTCTTGATTGCGCCACCTCAGTTCCCAAGAAGTAACGCAGCTTCCCAAGGTCCTTTGTTTGAAATGTACTAAACAAATGCTGTTTTAACTGACGAATTCCGTCTTGATCACTTCCGGTGAGAATGATGTCGTCAACATAGACTAACAAATAGATACACTTATCAGGAGATGTAATCCTATAAAACACAGAATGGTCAACTTTACTGCGGATTAAGCCAAACGCCTGAATAGCAGAACTGAAATGACTGAACCATGCTCGAGGAGACTGCTTGAGACCATATAAGGATTTCCGAAGACGACACACCTTTCCAGACTCCCCCTGAGCAACAAAACCAGGTGGTTGCTCCATGTAAACTTCTTCTTGTAAATCACCATGAAGAAAGGCATTTTTGATGTCAAGTTGAAGGAGTGGCCAGTGACAAACAGCAGCAAGGGCAAGAAAGAGGCGGACTGACACCATCTTAGCGACCGGAGAAAATGTATCGCTATAATCAAGGCCAAAGATTTGAGTAAAACCCTTGGCAACTAAACGTGCCTTGAGACGATCAATATGGACACCAGGTCCAACTTTCACAGTAAAAACCCAGCGACAACCAACTATAGACTTCTCTGGAGGAGCAGAAACAAGGTCCCAAGTGCCATTGGAATGAAGTGCAGTCATCTCATCAAGCATTGCTTGGCGCCACCCTGGATGGGAAAGTGCTTCACCTGTGGTCTTAGGAATAGAAATAGAAGAAAGACTAGAAACAAAGGTGAAATGAGGTGAAGAAAGACGGTCATAACTCAAAAAGGTATAAAGAGGATAAGGGTTACGAGTAGTACGTGTACCTTTTCTTTGAGCAATGGGAAGAGTCTCTGATGAAGGATCCGGAGGGGAAGAAGCAACAGCAGTGGGCGATGAGTCAGCAAGAGTCGAGTCGACATGAGGCACAGTTTTGCGACGCTGATAGGTGAGAAGGTGGACGGTCCTCAGGTATAGAAGCAATAGGTTGCTCATCTGGAATAGAAGCACCTGCAGCTGGCAAAGACAAGTCAAGAAAAGGGACAGGAAGTACATGATCAACCTGTGACATCTGAGATGGGATAGAATTAAAGGGTTGTTGATCAAGAAAAGTGACATCAGCGGAAACTAAGTAACGCTTAAGGTCGGGAGAATAACAACGATAACCCTTTTGAAGACGAGAATAACCAAGAAAGATACACTGAAAGGCTTTGGATGTTAACTTATCCTTACCAGGAGTGAGATCATGAACAAAACAAGTACAACCAAAGATATGTGGAGTTAGAGGATAAAGAGGAACATCTGGAAGCAATAGATTATGAGGAATGTCATTGTGGAGCACAGATGAAGGCATGCGATTGATGAGAAAACAAGAGATGAGTACAGCATCTGCCCAGAAGTGAAGAGGAACCTGCATATGAATAAGAAGGGTACGGGCAGTTTCAATGAGATGTCTGTTTTTACGTTCAGCCACCCCATTTTGTTGTGGAGTGTGAGGACAAGTAGTTTGATGTAAAGTACCTTGTGTGGCCAAGAAATTAGAAAAATCAATAGAAACATATTCCTTAGCATTATCACTACGTAGAATACGAATAGAAACACCAAATTGAGTATGGATCTCAGTAGAAAACTTTTTATAAATGGAAAATAACTCAGAACGATTTTTCATTAAATAGGTCCAAGTGCAACGGGAAAAATCATCAATAAAGGTAACGAAATACCGAAAACCTAAGACAGACAAGGTACGACTTGGACCCCAGATATCTGAATGAACAAGAGAGAAAGGGGCATCAGCTCGTTTATTGACTCGACTGGCAAAAGAGGAGCGTGTATGCTTCCCTTGTTGACATGACACACAATCTAAAGACTGAAGACCGGACAAAAGAGGAACCATTTTCTGCAACTTTGAAAGACTTGGATGACCAAGGCGAGTGTGGATAAGTTGTGGAGATTCTGTGAGAGAGCATGCTACTGAAGGACGAGGCACATCCAGATAATAAAGCCCCCGTGACTCACGACCCACTCCAATCATTTTCCCCGTACCCGGATCCTGCACAGAAACAGAATGGTTAGAGAAAGTAATGGTGCAAGTGAGGGAGTGGATCAACTTACTAATAGAAATTAAGTTATAAGGGATGCCAGGAATGTAATAGACAGATGTCAGGGCCAAGGTAGAGGTCGGACGAGCTTGTCCAATCCCACAAACTGGGGCTTTGGTTCCATCCGCAAGGGTAAAAGACGGTAAATGATCAGAATAAGTAAGAAATGTAAAGAGTTCCTTATTACCACAGAGATGATCGGTAGCACCGGAGTCAAATATCCAAGTGCCAAGTGATGTAGAATGAGAAACACAAGCAACGGGATTACCAGTATAAGGCTGAGACTGAGGAGAAGCCTTCCTGAGAGGGGTTTGGAGTGCAGCACAGTCCGAACCTGAACCAAATGATGCTTTGTCTGACTGAGCTATATTTGCAACAATAGAAGGAGAGTTAACCTCCGAGAGATCAGGAGATGCTGCTGCTATTTAAAGATAAAATATAAAAGCCGTAAACAAAGGCAAACGATATCCAATCAAGAAGAACCACGTGTCTAAGGTCAGACCCACAGAGAAACAATCACAGATCCAGAAAGGGGAGGAGAATGCGAGCTTCTCTGTCCAAGACCGGCCGGAAAAAGCCGCTGGAATAGTGCTCACGCGCCGGCAGAAGGTGGCGCGTGAAGCCCACGCGCAGTGAAGACAGGTGGCGCGTGACGGCGCGTGGGAGATGCGTTGCTGACCGGACCACCACAGACCTGGTCGCCGGGAAGAAAGGGTCCTGATCGCGTGAAGTTTGGTCGGAAAAGTCGCCGGAAAAAGTCTCCGGTTGCCTGAACAGTGATTCTGACGGCGGGCGGTGGTTCCGGTGGTCGTCGGAGGTGCTGACGCGTTTGGAAAAATCACTCAGAGGCTGTTTACAGCCCTAGAAGGCTTGCCGGAAGGACGCACGGCAAGAAAGAGGACTCCTAAGCAGTGGGCTTAGGTTTTTAAAGCAAAAAAAAAAAACAAGGTTTCTGAGCGGAAGCGAGGGTTCCTAGAACGAAAGAGCTCTGATACCAAGTTAAATGTAAAAGAATACGTTGTGTATTGATCTGTGACAAGGAGTTACAATATATAGAGACCCTAATGAGCTTAAGTGTAAGGCCCAAATCTAATCCAAACCTAATCCTAATATAGTCAGAATACAGTCAGACTATTTACGGATAAGACAGAATCCAATCATATCTAATCAAATCTAATCATATCATATCTAATATTCTAACAAAAATGATACATACTTTTTTCACAAAGGATAACGGCACGACGTTGTAAATCAATACACAAATCGAAAACAATAAGGGGTTTTAGTTTGTCCTTTAACATGACCAGAAAAACTTTTCTACACATACAATATTTTGTGGGGCCCACACTTTTTTAAAGCAAAAAAAAAAAAAAACTATGACACGTAAAACGAATCTCTATAACATTACAGAATCACTCTTCCTACGACATAACTCTTATAAAATCCAAATAATAAAATGAAAAGAAAGAGAGATTTGATGCGACAATTTATTTTGGTTTATTCAATATAAGTTATGTCTAATTTGTTTGTATTGTATTTATCTCATCATCATTTGTTATAAGTCACTTGTTTTATAAGAGAATACAAATAGAATTTAAAAAAAGTTATTTATGTATGAGCCCAAATCAAATTATTAAAACAAAGAAAATTACAATAAATCATAAATCATAGATCCAATAATATCAGACCTCTACATATATATGAAAGCAAGTGATACTTATTATTACCATTTGGCCACAACCATAAGTGGCGAAGAAGTACTGGTTTTGAACTTTGAAGACCTGAGTTTCAAAAAATAAATGATGAAGTCTACGACAATGTACTTGATGTTGATGTGGGTGAGTCTGTTTCCACTTTCCAGCTCCAATGCCATGTGACTCTCTCTCTCTCTCTCTCTCTTTGTGAAATCATGTAAAGCTAGATTAGAAAAAAGAAACAGATCAAAACTGTTACCAGCAAAAACCTCTAGTATATGTGATAGCAAATGATACTTATTATTACCATTCAGTACTTGGTTTCGATTTATACATGCAATTTGTTATTATTATTAATTAGCATTTTCCCTTCTCAAAATATAAAAAAAAAAAAAAATGCATCTATCTATTCCTCGCCTATTAATGTTTCAATAAATCAACCTTGTGTAAGACGTTCTCCACTTATGCCGCATGATCCAGCTCTATTCTTGCAAACTAAAGAAGTTCCGTAGCATTTTCCATAAAAAAAAAGGTGCATTTCCTCATCGCAGAAGTTAACGGATTATTTCATCGATATGACTTATCCTTTACGTTCAAATAAATATTGGCCTTGAAACTGAATGCTTTGCAACGAATGAAGAGTATAATATATATTAATGGACATAATTTATATTGGGTGAACTTATAAAATAAATTTGTATCTCCACTTTTCTATCCTTCTCTCCTTTTTATTTGTGATTGTTGGGTGCCAACACGCCTTAGTTTCGCCATTACATAATCTTAATTCTGTATCTCCTTATCGTTTCACATGGTCTAGTTTGATCAATATCCATCTAGTTAAGTCATTCCCTAAGATTTTTAAACCTAAAGCAAAGCCCTTCTACAGTTCTACTTGGGACACGAGTGAGAAAATGGAACATTACAATCCATATCACCTTCCTGATATGCTTCGCTACTGATATATATTAGATAATGAGCAACTTATTATTATTAAAGAGCAGTTTATTGTTATATGTTGCAGACACAAAGCTGCTATTGTTACATAAGACAGATACAAGGCGCAGCTACTTAAGTGGGCTATATAACTTACAATACATAAGTTACTAACGAAGTGACTTAAGAACTTCAGTTTTACCATGCATTACAATCATAAGTATGTAATTAAGAAGGCACAGAATTCCCATTCCATTTCCGTGTACACCCGCTACAGAGGTAGGGTCAACCTAAAGGGGCACTACTTGTGCCATACAGCATAATTGTGGCCACAAGTTGATAGTGTCCATTCCCTCCCAGATGGGCACCATGAACCATTTCCAATCTTCATGCACAGTTTCTCCCCAATGATGGCAGAGTAAAGGTTTTGCTTGGCCTCCAGAATCCTGATGGGTGATCTACTCAGAATACCTTGACGCTTTCGAATATCAATCTGCAGTTAAATGTAAATTGGTTACTAAGTGTTGTTAGAGAAGTCTAATATAAAACAAATGGCGAGGCCTTAGTTAAAAGCTTGAGCTTTTAGTTTTGATAGTTATTTAATAAGTGTCTCTTTGTCTAAACGAAATTGCATCAGTAGTGTACTAGTTCTGTTACGTACCAACTTCACAATCTGCTCACGAATTGAGCCGCCCCAGTCAAAAAAGTGGTCATAGAAAACTGTAGGCATCCCGGGATGAGTCAATATGTACGCATACCCCTGCATCAACCCAAAAGTCTTAGTAGATAAAACATTTGATAAACCTCAGTAAACTCCATTTAATAAAAAGTGTAAAATATTTTGGGAGAGGTAGGTGCAGGCATTTTTTTTTGTTTTTTGTTTTTTGTGGTCAATGTTTTGCTAGTAACTAGCTCGTTTGTCACAACAACTAGATCAAGGAAGTCTAGGACGGAAGACAGCAAAATGGCCTTTTCACATCCTCTTGGAGTCCCAGAAACTCTAAAAATTACAAAAAGGTGGTAATTTCTTTTTTAAAAAAACTTGATAATTCTATTAGTATCATGGCAGTACAACATGGAAGAAACAATAAGGTGTGTGTTCCACCATTATTTTCAAATAACTTAAAATGAATAGACTTGATTTCTTGCTGCTACGCGATTATTTAGCTGCAAAAACAATTTTAAACTTGTTGATAGAAAACATTTTCTATCAACGAGTTTAAAATTGTTTTTTCTATATGATATGGAGTTTTGAATAATTGGCAGAATTGTATGCATTAGATATTCTTTGACAGTGGAGGACATGGTTGAAATTTTACTAGTTTTTCTACTTTGTCTTTTACTCTCTATCTGACGGAATAAAAAGTTGACAGGAGGAAACAATAGTTAGGTGTATAGAAAACAGGCAAAGAAAGGATACAGAGAAATAGATTACCAGACTAATAACATGATGGATAAATATTAATCTAGGATGGTAGGATCATCAAATTTAAAATTATGCCCGTCGAGCAACCAAAAATATTTATGCACATGGTACCGTATGCAAGTAATAACATCTGGACTGAAAAGCATTATTTTAAATAGTCACTAATGCTAAAAAAAGAAGTACCTCCATAATATGGTCTGAGGGGAATGGCCAATGAGCCTGCATAGAGAGTTAAACAAGAGCATAAATTTAAGATTTAGTACTAAAAAAAAGAGCATCTCATCTAAGTGTATTATTGTAAAGAACCAATTCAACCCAAAAGCTTAAGCTATTTAAGATTTAGTACTAAAAAAAAGAGCATCTCATCTAAGTGTATTATTGTAAAGAACCAATTCAACCCAAAAACTTAAGCTATTGGGTGAGGCTATATTAATGGTTTTATATATCTCAACACGCCTCCTCACACGATAGCCCACTGGGCTTGAAGGGTGGACAATGCACAGGCCCACCTACCTGTGCGAACAAAGAAATTCCACTTGAAAAAAAGTGGGGGGCGACGAGGATCGAACCCGGGACACGAGGCTCTGATACCATGTAAAGAACCAATTCAACCCAAAAGCTTAAGCTATTGGGTGAGGCTATATTAATGATTTTATATATCTCAACACAAGCAAATCGTAAACTCAGTACCTGAGTTGAGCCTGTATCATGATTATCTACAAATGTGACTGATCTTGAAGGCCACCATCCCATCACACCTGGTGGCTTCCCTTGAGGGTCACGCAGACGCCAAAAATCTCCCTTGACAGCTTCCTACAAAGAAGTGCATCAGCATACATGAGAAAAGTGGTTGCGGTGAGAAATGTAATTCTAAATGAATCTAATAGCCAATACACCTGAGAGTATCAGATTTTGTAGACTTGATAATAAGTAGAAATAACTCACTGAATGGTAAAGGTAAAATAAAGAAAAACGACGAAATCCTCTATGCATGGGAAGATCTAACTACCATGTTCATTTTTTCAAAGGTTCACATAACATACTAAGTACAAAATGCTGGGTACCTGAAGAATCCCCTTTGTTGTGAAGTCAAATGCAGCTGAAAGCTGTCCAGTGCCATCAATCCAATTGATTATTCGCTGCCTATGGCTATCTGCACAAAGTGGAAAATAAGTAACTGCTTCTAAACTGTTTTCTACTATTTGTAATTTTTAAATTTAGTATTTAGATAAACGGTTTTTAAACTTGAATTTCTAGTTCAATTAGGTATTCTTCCCAACACAAAAACAGAAGATGTCTCGTTAATTAGTTAGTCATGCCATGAATTCCTCACTACAGGAGAAAACTTTATTTCAGCTTGACGTTCCACATTCTGTTTACATGCAGCAATAATTTGTCATGTTAATAATTTTTTTTTTTAACTTTTTTAAAGGGATAAGAACAGAAATTTTAGAGCTTTTTTGTTCACTCACAAAATCCTATATCCCAATGATCAACAAATTCAGGTTTCAGCAAATTCAGATTTTTAACTAATAATATATTTGACGAATAAAAATATATATTTAAGAACTGTACCTTGGTTATAGTCCAAAGCAGAACCATTGTAGTTGCAAGAATCCCAGTACTCCCCAACAGAGAACAATGGCTTTGCTCCTTCAATATATTCTTTCACGTATTTTGGGGAAAACCTATGAATGAAAGAATTGAAAGATAAAAAAAAACACTATAAATCATGAGTACATAATGAAAGAAAACAAAGTTAAAACCCAGTATTCAAAAGGCATAACATGTCTTACCCTTTTGCAAAATCAAAACGAAAATCCTGAAAGCCTACGTTGTGGCGTAGCCACCGGAGCCATCCTATGATATCCTTTCTCACAAAATCTTGAGAATGGTCAATATTGGGAAACCCATGGAAAATGGCCCCTGTGCTTCTATGACCCTGAAATAAGCAACACATTGATACATTAGGTGGAACTTTTATGTAGGATGCAGGTTAAAATCAATGAAAATATATATTGGGATGTGACAAAATATGTTACCAATCCACCAGTACATGATGTCACAGCATGTTCATCCCAAGATAATGGAATTCCATCAAAACGATTATACATCCCTCCACGTCCTTGGGTGGTGCCAGCACGATGATTGATAACTATATCAGCCATTGCTCTGACTTTGTATTGCTTCATCTTTTGAAGCAAAGCTTTTAACTGATGCTCAGAACCATATTTACTATTAATGGAGTAAAGGTTCTGTGGAGTGTAACCTGCAAAAGGGGGTAAATACACATTGTCTTCATTGGGGTTGAAGAAAAAGATAAAGCATCACTTTAAGACCATATAATTTTTTCTATGCTTAATTCTTCAAAGGCTACGACCTTCAGGTGAGAAGGATTGAGTTGGTGGTGGCAACCATGCTGAAGTAAATCCAGCTTTAGCTATGTCAGGAACTTTACTTTCTAAATTTGTCCACCAATTGTATTTGTTAGACTCCCAATTAAATGCCTGCAAAGCAATTTTTTTTTTAATGTCAATTCTACTACGGATAAAGTTCTTGACAGTCTTAGAAACTTAAAAATTGAGATGTGATATGATACGCATAGAATCAAATAACTTTTCCTATTAGTTTTCAAAGATCATCACATCTTTGCTGTTAAATAGCATCATTGGAGCACGGATAGTAAATACTTCAATAAAAAGAACCAGTGAAATTCAGGGTGATTTGGTTTTTCCAATTAGTGCAAATAATAATAATATGATCACTAATTCAATAAATTTTTTTTGTGATCGGAAGGTCACAAATTCAAGTCTAGAAAACTATTTCTTTGCAAAAATGTACAAATAAGACTATACAAATCGACCGCCATCCCTACTTTCGCAAGTTTTGTGCACCTGGTTTGCCCTTATGCTCACTGTTACACTGTTGGAAATCGACAATAACACGAAATCGACAAAAACAGAAAAGAGAAAAGAGATTGACACAGTGATTTATCCTGGTTCACTCAATATAGGCTACGTCCAGCTTGTCTGTACTATATTCACCTCACCACCACTCGTTACAAGTCATTCGGTTTACAAGGAAAATATAAATAGGATTAGAAAACCCTAACAACAGCTATTCATGGGCCCAAATCCAACATACATGCAAAGTATGAGTCATACCCAACGTACACAACCTTGTGTTGAAAACTCTTCTACTATGACTAGGCAACTAAGCAGATAAGCGGAAACTAGAGTAATTAAAACTTACCTGAATAAGTATTTCTTTTCCATCTCGCAAAACTGCACCTGGTCATTTGAGTCAAGAAGGATTCATAAGAACATCAAAAGACCCACTATTGAGTAATTGAGATATCATCTCAATTAGAAGTTAGAACAGTTAATCTTAATGTTATCCCATGAAACTAAATATGTTTTACAGAGCAACAGAGCAGCTACTCATGGTTTTGAATAAGGTATTAAATATTCATGCACTGAAAATTCTAAAATAAAGTTATATCTAAAGTCCATTTTCACACAACCACTGAAATTCTCAGTAATGGTAATCAGGTTCGTTAGGAATCAAATACATACCGCTATGATTTTGTTGATTGGTTTGATCACGTTCCTGCTCATAAACCAAGAACCAAAACATAAGGAAAGGAAACTTAAAAATAAAACAGATTGAGATACAGAGATAAAAATGAACAGCATTTGTTGCATACACTGCTCTTAAAGCCCATATTAACTCAAATATTATGAACACTGAACCAATACAGTAACCTGCATCAACAATAAAAATAAAAAAAAAGGATTATTGGGTTTCGAATAATAAAGATAAAAAGGTTAAATAGAAGAAGAGAAACGCACCAGGTTGAGTAGGGAAGGGAAGAACCTTAGAGGTATTAGTATTTATAGAAAGAAAAAAGCAGAAAAAATCTGCTTAATTGGAATATCATCCATAAAAAGATAACACAATCAACATGGAATATGGCATTTGAGGGTAAAATGGAATCAGCTTTTGAAATGAGAAAGCTGAATATGAAATGAGGATAACAAAATTCATATTCAATAACGATCCAAATAGAGGAATAAAGAATATAGGCATTTTTTGTATATACAAGTTTTAACTAATTCTAGTGCCTTCTCTTCACTGCTACAAAGCTTGGCGAGTAAGCTACCAATACTGTTCAATTCAGCGCGGTTCAAATTCCTGAAAATGACTTCTCAATCACTTAATTCGGTGCTCTTTCCAACGAGCCCAATCTTGGCTTTCTTGGGCCTGGACGAATATTATGGATAAAACAAAAATAATATTTGGATATTAAAATTTTGGGTTGGAGTGATTTTTATCATGATATCAGAGTTTCAGTGACCTTAAGATCACGAGTTCGATCCTCGGAGAAGGTTATATTTACAAACTTTTTTCTTACAAACTTATAAATTATACTAAGTATGACCACTATACTAAGTATGACCAGTTATACTTCAATCAATCAAGAGTATATGACTCGTCAGACATAGTGTAATTTATAAAAGTTTGTAAACAAAAAATTTGTAAATATAATCTTTACCGTTTTCAAAAATAGGAACTAAAAAGGCAATGGATTGATATAAAAGTAGTAGTAAAAGAAGAAATTTGTGAGATTCTTGGAGAAAAAATTGCAAACAACGTAGATGACGCATCTCTTTATTCTTTTTGGAACTAAAAAGGCAATGGATTGATATAAAACTCAACACAATGCATGATTGACCAAACCCATACGCATCTCTCTTTTTTTTTTTGGTACAATAAAGGGGACTAACCCCAAACCCATACGCATCTCTGTTGAATCAATTTGACACACTGCGACAATCCTATTTTGGATACTAGCCAAACTATCTTCTTTTTACCTTTTGAATGGATTTGAATTTTGAAGCCCATAATATAATATGGGCCGCTTTCGTCCGCTCCTTCAGATGAACATTGCGTTGTTGATGACGAAAAACTTCACTCTATAGTAAAAATAATGTATTGTCTTTTTTTTTTTTTTGAAATATTCCTAGGTATAGTTCAATTTGGAGCGGATTCCTTCGTTAAAGAAGTGCAATCATGATTTCTAAAATTAAACAACTTGTTGCATGACCGATATGTGGTTTTGATAATAATAAATAAGTCATATAATATTTTTAACGGTGTACTTTGAAAGAAGAGATAAGAGATAATAAATAAGAGAAAAAATAGATATAAAGAAAGACTTTTTTTGGCTCTTTTGCCCTCCATCAATTAAATAATAGCTATTTTGTCACTTCCCAAAACATTCCACTCATATACCCTTGCATTAATCGATTAAACCACGGGCTTAATCGATTAAATAGTTAAAAAACACATAAAATATTAAACCCGCGATTTAATTGATTAAGCCATAGTGCTTAATCGATTAAATAACATCAGAAATCCTATATCTACATGTTTTGGTCTCATTTCACTTATACCCGATTTTTACACCAAAATCTCTCTCGTTTCTCATCTCTAATCCAACTCATCAAGAGGCTATTTCATCCTACCATCTCTAAAGACTTAATCTTGTGAAATCATTGTCGTTGCACTTACATATTCTTTTTTTGTTGGGAAAATCCGAACCCAAACCTAAAAAATTTGAACCTTAGTCCTAATTTCGTGTGCAAGATGATCTCAAGTTCAAACACGTCTGTTACAGTGATCTACCACGATGGGAAGCATTTTGAAAGTCCCAATGGCGTTCAATTTGAAGGAAAAATGAAAATGATGAAAATCAAATAGGGCACTACATACAACGAGCTTAAGGGAGAATTCACCAAAAATTGGGCTACAAGGCAGCCAATGCATTCATCGGATGATAGCCAAGGTAGAGAGTACAGTTGGTAAAGATGCTATGTACTGCATTAGTAATGATATTTGTGATGATGAAGATGTGAAATGTGTCAATTGAAGATCAGAAATTTCAAAATTTTATTGAGATATTGTTAGAGAATAGTATAAACTATTAAAAAGCTCTCACCCAATAGCTTAAGCTTTTGAGTTGAATTGGTTCTTTACATGGTATTAGAGCCTCGTGTCCCAAATTCGATCCTCACTGCCATCCACTTTTTCTTGTGGAATTTTCTTAGCACATGTAGGTGAGCCTGTGCAGTGAGTCTGTTTATTGTCCACCCTTTAAACCCAGTGGGCTCTCGTGTGAGGGGGCGTATTAGAGAATAATATAAACCATTAAAAAGGCATCACCCAATAGCTTAAGTTTTTGGGTTGAATTGGTTCTTTACAGATATATGTTGAAGTTGATTGTGGTCAATCTTCATCTGCACTAAGAAGTCCATAATATTTTGGTCAAGAAGACAGTGTCATCGGTTTATCCGCACCTGCATAAGGGTTAAGTCAGATAATATTGATGGATGGAGAGGAGGAAGAGGATATGGAGAGTGATGACGACGGAGAACCTGAGAGTGTTATTCACTAGGTGAGACCTCAGATACTGACATAGAGGGTGATTTTGACGCTGACACGAACCCAGTAAACATGAGTTCCCAAGTTATGACACCATTTCATGTTGACCCAGTTAGCAGTGGTAAGATAGTAAATTAAAGTTTTTATTTAATATTTCATTTATGTGTTGTTATTGGTATTGACAACAATGTAATGATTTAGACATAAGGCCTGAGATTGATTCATTTTGGAACGAAAGCCCATATTACTCCTTCATTAATTGGGTGCACCCTAATGACGAGATGGAGATGTTGTATGCTGACGATGACTTGCACAGTGGTTGGCAATTAGGGGATCCATTATATGTGTATCAAGAGTTTCGTTCCAAATCTGAAATACAACATGCCATGAAAGTACATTGTATGAAGGCTCATCGTACAACCATAGTAGCAAAAAGCGATGAACATAGATTTATGATGAAGAGTCGAAACCATGCTGTCGGTTGTCCCTGGTATATGAGGGAAATGTTGTCGAAGAATGGAAATACTTAGGTGGTTAGTAAGTGAGGTAAAGATCACACCTGACTAAACTAAGGTCTTACCCGAGATCATAGATAGCTGGATTTAGAGGTTATATGTGCAACCATTATAAGTATATTTTGTAGTACATGCAAGTTACATATTATTAGTTTATGTTATTTATTTATCAAAAAATATTTATTGAAAATATTGAGAACTTGCGTTGTTTATTATAAGTATGTTAAGGAATGATCTAGCTTTAAAACCAGTGTTGATACAAGAGAGGATACAACGTCTATATGGGTACAATATAACTTAGAAGGATTGGAAGGCAAAAATGAAGGGCGTTGTGAAGTTATTTGGTGAATGGATAAATCATATGCATTTTTGCCCAATTGGCTGACATACATGATGCAGTGTAATGTGGGTTCAGTGTTCAAGCTTTATACGAATCAATATTTTGACGAACGTCGAGTTTATATCGACAAGGCTGTCTTTCATAAAGGTTTTTGGAGATTTCACCAGTGCATTGAGGCTTTCAAATACTATAAGCCCATAGTCCAAATTGATGGCACTTATTTGTATGGGAAATATAAAGGAACTCTTTTGATTGTGGCATCACAAGATGAAGATGGATACATTCTGTCTATTGCCTTTGCTGTTGTTCCTACAGGTGAGAAGTTAGAAGATTAGTCGTGGTTTCTTAGCCTTATACGTTTTCATGTGATACACTGGCAAGGTATTTGTCTAATATCTGATTGTCACCATAGCATCATAAGGGCGATCAAAGATCATGCCGGTTGGCAACCTCTGTAAAGAACCATTTCAACCCAAAACCTTAAGGTGTTGGATGAAGGCCTTTTTAATGATTTATATTATTTTCTAACACACTCCCTCACATAAGAGCCCTTTGGACTTGAAGCGTGGATTATTGCATAGGCCTAATTTTTGGTTTACTTTATGCTTATTTAATTCCACAAGTGGGGGACAGTGAAGATCGAACTTGTGACCTTACTGAAGCTCTGATACCATGTAAAGAACCATTTCAACCCTAAACCTTAAGGTGTTGGGATAGGGCCTTTTTTAATGGTTTATATTATTTTCTAATAACCTCCGTTTTCCTATCACGTGTTTTGTCTACGTTATATTGGAAGCAACTTTAATACTAATTTTAGGGATGTGGAATTGAAGAAAATGTTGATGAAACTAGGTATTATAATTTCATTAATATGTACTTGTTGTAGATCAAGAGTATATGTATTGTAAATATTTTAATGCATTAAAACTCTTTGTTTTACAGGGTACATGAGTTGAAAGATTCATTTTGACATGAGATTTTAGGAATTTATCGACAATGACTCAAGTTGCTTCATAGATAGATCGGATCTCGAAAGAGCAATGATGCAGGTCTTGTAACAGCCCATTGTACACCACTATTGTTAACCTTGATTATGATATTAAGCGCAAATACAATCACAACAGTTTATTTAAAAATACGAGTAAACTTTTTCCTTTTCATTATTTATGCAATTTAAAATAACCATAATAAGTAATGATACAAGCTGTGATCGCAACTAAAAACTAAACGCGGAAATAATATTATACTTGCTTAACTATCATACAATACTTATTTTAAGTTGCTAAGAGGTTCCCATAAACCAACTTAGCATAAAACTCACATTTTCAATTTCTCTAACACTGAACACGCTTCTGTTTTCTCAACATTGGATGTGACACACTTGTCATTAATTTTTCATCTTTACGTTAAACTAGACTCATTTACCTTTTCAACAAGGCATCACACGCCTCATTTGAAGTTCTCTAGCTTCGGTTATAACCGTTTGAAGTTGGACAAGCAAAGCTACCAACCAACTACAAACAGGGAACAAAACATCCCTCATCATTTCTACGATTCCCAGAGTTTTACTCAACCAAATACTCTCAAATTTTTATACAG